ATTTCAACGCACATGCAAATACGGAGCGTTACTCCTGCCCTCTCCGCAAGCCCATGTCTAACCAAGTAGTCTAGCCCAATTCATCGGCTTCTGTTTGGAGCCCTCGGTCCTCCTTCAGATTGGCGTGCCTCAACGTACGCACTTTGTTACAGGTCGGTCAACAGGCATCACTTTCCTGAACATTAGAGACCCTCTTGTTCGATATCTACTGCCTAACGTAAACCCTCCTACAAAACCCTGACTCTGTTCTCACACTGCTTTCCCCTTCTGGTGACACTAGCAGAGCTTTCTCATCTCGCCTATCCGGGGACGATGCAGCTTCGAATGCCGACGAAGCCGGTGTGGATGTTTCCCTGATTTCCTGGGCTGAATCTCCTCTAGTTGATTGGGTCCCAGCCATCAGCAGAATATGTGCGGTTTGATTGGCTGGCTCGTTCAAAGCTTTGCAGTCGCGCGGGGCTAATAGGTATCTGTCATCGCTGCCTACGCTCCTACTAACTGAAGCGATCAGTCAGCAAAGGACGAATTCTATCGCCAACTGAACGAGCTCCTGTGCCGAAGAAGAAGAATTCGGGTGTCTTGTTCTTGTGGATGGTTTACACGACTTACTAGTGAAACCGTGGGCGCAGGAAACTATCCCAACCGACTGGGGCCACTCTGTTATTGTCCCCATCTTCAAAGGAGGCTCGCGTTCGGAATGCGGCAACTATACAGAAATCAGTCTGATCTCCATTACCTCTAAATGGCTTGCCTCTGTCATCCTTCACAGACTAACTAGCACTGTTGAAGGCCAGATTCGTGAGGAGTAAGCAGGGTTTCGTCGAGGTCATGGCTGCATCGATCACATCTTCGCTTTGCATCAATTGTTGGAGCACCGTCACTTATATTGGCGGCCCGCCGTTATCCTGTTCCTCGACACCAAAGGTGCCTGATTCGCTGGTTCGATGTGCCCTTTGGGACTGTCTGCCAAGGGATGGTGTGCCCGAAGAATATGTAAATCTTATCCCAGCGCCTTCCGCGCGTTAGTCGGGTAGAGTGGGGGCTTACCGCAATCTGTCGCCGTCCTCCAATATCTCCTGCGGTGTAAGTCAAGGATGCTGACTGTCACATTTCATCTTCGAATTCGCTATTGACGAAGTCCTGAAGATCGCGTTCACACGACACGACTTAGAAGGCGTGAAGCTGTTCCCTGGTGAACGACTTTTTAACTTGGATTACGCCGACGAGATCGCCCTAATCTGTTACAGCTCACAAACGTGCCAAAATGCACTGGTCAGATTAGCACTGGCTGTCAGCCCTCTCGGACTCTGCTTTGCTCCCTCCCCATTGGTGGCAATCAGCTAGACTACGTCTAGCAATTCAACCACCTAGGCAATTGTATCAACTGCACTGGGATTGAAGAGAGGGTCACAAACCGTATAGCAAAAGCACCAGGCGCTTTTGCTTATCTTCATCAACTATGGTGCCGGCGCGATTTCACTCTCCCTGAAGGGTAAAGTGTACACTGCATCCATAAGTTCGACATTGCCGTACGGTTGTGAAACCCGGCCTATGAGATTTGCCAACATAATGTATTTAGTTACGTTCGACCACCGGTGCCTTCACGGTCTGGCTCATGTCTGATGGGAACACTGTGTGAGCAATAAGCCGCTCGACACCTTGTTTACAACACAGAGAGAAGAAGTGAACCACTCAGCGCTGTTATTTCACGCACCAGACTCCGCTGGCTGGGCCACGAGTTGCGCATACCATCCCACCGACTCCCACGACTTGCGTTTGCGCGCCCGGGAATGGAATACAAGGAGGAGTGGCCAAGCGATGCCCTGGTCAAGATGAATGAAGGCCCTTAGTTCGAAGTTGACCTTGATTGAGGTCCGAAAGACGATTACCACGTTTGGTTGGATGCACTTGTTGACATGGTTAGGAGCCAGCGTCAATGGCGTTTGTGTTGTGAGTTTCTTTGTCCCTCTCCCTCCAACCACGATCTCAGTTACTCGCATAATGTAAATTTTTTTGCGACACAATCGCCGGCTGTTCGCTCTCCTGAACGATGTTCATCCGTTACTGGTGACTCAACAGGCATAACTCCGTGACATATTTTTCTTTCGTTTTGTATTGCTGCACTGTATTGCTGCTGCTGGTGTGTTTTCCATCTCCAGCTAATGTGTGTAATGATGATGATGATCGCAGTGTCCAATCTTCCCACTCAGACATATAGGTCAACCCCATCCTCATCAAACACGTTAGCCGATGATGAGATACACACCACAGCTAATATACCGTAATCCAAAAATAAGTGATTACACATTACGAACTACAAAAGCTAAAGAAGTAACGTACTCCTAAAATCACATTATGCGTTGGGTTAAGATCGTTATTGCAAGAGGAAGCTAAAGGAGAGGAGGGACAAAGAGATTCACAACCCAAACGCCATTGAGGTCGGCTCCTCGCCATTTCAGATAGTGTATTGAACCAAGCGTGTTCATCGTTCTTCGGACTCCAGCCAGGCAGTCGGGAAACACCAATCGACGCCAAATTCGAAGTGAGGAACTTCATTCCTCTTGACCAAGTCATCGCTTGACCTCCTCTCTTCATCTTACATCCACACCCCGGGCGCGCGAACAACGCACGATGAAAGAGTCGGTGTGCTGGCATGCGCAACACGTCACTTAGCTACCGGAGCCTGGTGCGTGTCATAATGGTGTTGAGCGGTTCACTAGCTCTTCCTGTACCAAATACGCGACGCCGAACATGCTCATTGCTCACGCGGTGCTCCCACTAAACATGAGCTTAGCTGCAAACGAAGCGATGATAGAACGTAACTAGCGTCTTTGTCGGCTGACCTAATGGGCACTCGAACACACGTTGGACACGCCCGGTATTTACATAGCTGAAACTGGGACTACTGACCCTGACGGGGTTGCTGAATTACCTGCACCCGGCTTGTCCTCTTACTATTGGTTTCACGCCCCCGGAAACGCTGATGCATTAATCACTGGTCTATCTGTGGTGGGCATTGTTTCCAGCTCCATAGCTGAGCTATCGTTGGTTGATTATATATATATATATATATATATATCCCCTTCTGCGAATGATTTGGCGGCAGTGTTCCAGGATGTGGTGGGTTTACTTCTGGCAAGCGTTCCCCCTATAAAAAGCCACAAATGTCCGCTTAACAGCACTGCGAAGTGGCGGATGTGACTCACCACTCTATAATGTCACTGCCACTTGTCTTCTCGAAGACGTTGTATACTTGTAAGCAATTCGAGCATTGGATTCTGCTTTTGACTTCGGGAGTATTGGACCCCATGTATGGCTTTCCGTCATCCGAAAGCCGTGTGAACTGAATATCCGGTCACCGGCTCCCAACGGGTGAGAAACTCTTATTTCACTCTGCTGCCTTGTAGGTTTGACCCCTCGGCCAAAGACTAGAGTTGCTGGTCCCCTAAGACAACTCACCTACTTTGGCCTGGGCAACCTGGTATTATCTGCTCTACTGACGAATCATGGAAACACACAACTAGGCTGTCCCACGTTGTCATGATCCCCTGCTCTGCGACTACGCCAACTTTACAAACACGTTACTAATTTAGATACATTTTTCTTGTGTCACTCATCTTCATTGTTGCCAGATATTTTCCAGTACGAGCTTTCTGCACCCTGATCGCCACTATGCTATCTGGCGTCTTCCATCGTCAGCCCAACGTTGGTCACAAATTGATCACATAGCCATAAGTTGCAGGTGGCCCGGCAGCGTACGCGATTGCCGATTATTTTGGTCAACTTGTGTTGACACCGATCATGCATTGGTGCGTGTGTGTGATAGCTTGCATGTGCTTCGGTGGTTCGCCCAGGGCCCAGCAAATCCGACTCAACACTCACAAGTTGGAGGAGCTAACGTAAAAACGCAGTATCAACAGGGAACTCGCGAAAATCCCGCCATGCCCCATGCTCTGAATGTTAATGATCACTGGTCAAACTTTCAACAAGCAATGCTGCTCGCTGGCTTATCCAGCTTCCATCTCACACGCTGCACAACCAGAAGCTGAATTTCGGAAGATCCTCCGAACTTCTGGGTCGTCGACGGGCTGTGCCCATTGCTGTGGAGCACAATGAACTTCATTGATCTATCTCTCAACAGCTGAAGTCAAGCCTTCGCTCAGACCGTGAATCATGGTGGTCAAAACGAGCTGCTGAGATGGAAGCCGCTGCATCGGCTGGAAACTTCCGCAGTTTATTTTACCTCATCAAGACCACTGGTTGCAATTCACATGCTGTCAGTCAGACAGCTTGTGAGTCAGACGGCACGAAAATCACCAACCTACACAGGCGCTTTGGCTGCTGGGCAGAGCACTTTGTTTTCCAATTTAAATGCTCTGTTTAGCCCACTGCAACACCTCCGTTTCCTTCGGATGGTGCTTGGCCTATCGCCACAGATCCTCCTACCGGAACAGAGATCCGAAGCGCAATCCAATCTTTGAAGCGTCATAAAGCTCCCGCTCCTAACAGCCTACCCCGGCTCTATTCAAAGATGCCGGGGATGCACTTGTCAACGAACTGCTATCACTCTTCACGACAATTTGGACTGACGAGAAAGTCCCAATAGCTTAGGGAGGATCGGTCATAGTCCCGACTCACAAGTAAGGCTGCTGCGAAGATTGCGCCAATTATCGCGGAATTTCGTTGCTCTATGTTGCTTTCAAGATTTTGGTCTGTATTCTACTCCGCACTTTTAGCGACTAGAGAAAGTATTTCCCGAGTGAAACAAGCGAGTTTACCTCCAGGCTGATGTTGCATTGACCGCAACTTCACCCTTCGCCAACTTCTTGAACCCCGTCACGTCCACTGACCTCCAACAATCATAGTATTTCTTGGACATCCGAGCAGCATTTAACTCAGTATATAGCCCTGCTTTATGGAACTGTCTCCTAAGCAAAGGTGTGTCCGACACGTTTGTAACCATCTTGAAGGAACTCTACAGCCACACGTCTAGCAAAGTCATGGCTTACAGCAAATTTTCCCCGTTTACTGTCACCAGCGGCGTTCGCCAAGGTTGCCCTATTTCATATTTCCTCCTCGATGTTGCCATTAAAGATGTCATCCAACAAGCATTGGAAGGTGTACAAAATCGCGATATTGAACTTTCACATGTGACAGTCGTAGACTTGGACTGCGCCGATGATATTGCTTTGCTTGCGGACGATCCACAAGCCGTTCAGAACGCTTTGAACAACCTAGTGATGGAGGTGTCTAAGTATGGCCTATATTTCGCCCCAGGCAAGTGTAAACTACTACTCCAGGTTTTGCAGATACCTGATCCTGCCCTTACCATTGCACGTGACGTCTTGGAACAAGTCCCTTGTTTCACTTCTCTAGGAAGTTGCATCACAGCTGGCGGCTGTATTGGAGATGAAGTCTCACATTGGATCGCAAGGTCTCGCCTTGCATTCATCAGGCTGAGACACTTACGGCGCAGTTGCGACGTCAGTCTCAAACTCAATGGCATAAAGAATACAACCTCAAACTTAGCATCCGTCGAACCAGCCCGCCTTCTTGGATGGGTATCACGTGATTCTTACTGTCAATGATTATAGACCTTGGAGGCAATGGCGTGCAACAGGCATCAGTGGAGACAGTACTGTTCAACTGCGCTAGCTATTAGTTAACGTCTCAGCTAGCGCCATCATCGAAACACAAAAAATCTTAAACCGCTGTATGTGAAGCCGAAACAAATCGTTTTCTTTCCGTGTGGTATTTCGTTTGCCCCCTTTATTTCGCCATGGTTCTGTTGCCACGTTATCAGCAATCTGATCGTGCATATATATATATATATATATATATATATATATATATATATATATATATATATATATATATAGATGGCGGTAGAGCCCATGGTGCGCTGAAGCTTGCGGTGGCGAGATCCTGACAGATCATCGACACGCTACTGCTAATGTTGCACTGTGGGCTCATGTCCTGGACGCCTCGTGGCGACTGCTGGTTGGGAGTTAGGTTACACCCTTCTTCTACCTAAGATCTACGACACAATTCGGCCTGAGTTGGTTCACTGACTCATGGCGCTCGACCCGCTGCCTTTCTGATGTATACGTTACCGAAGGCCTTAGCTGAGGACCCGCGTCGTTCTACTGTCTGGTGTGGGCGCCGTGGCAGTATCCTAATCTAACCACCAACTGTGAATTACGCCAATACTAATAAATTCATACTGCATCGGCCGTCGCGCAGTGGCCTTAGGATACGTTTGCCTTATCTGCTACTTACAGCGGGGTAGATAAGCAAACGCATACTACTGCTGGCGCCTTCCTTCTTTCTTCCCCTGCACATACTCTCCCCGTCCGCGTTTCAATGAACCCACTATTTCCTCCAATCCAGGACGTCACCTCCCATACGGTTACCCGCCAATGCAATCGTATGCCTCCGCGCAGAGCGCTCAACATTGGGTGCTGGAACGTGCGCACTTTGCTCGACCGGAATAGGAGTGAGCGTCCCGACCGACGCACTGCACTAGTCGCCATAGAACTAGCGCGCTAAAACATCGATATTACGACGCTCAGTGAGACCCGGCTAGCTGAGCAAGGTAAGTTACATGAAGCTTGTGCAGGCTATACGGTCTACTATGTGTGAAACGCCACCTCAGCAACACGTGAACATGGGGTCAGATTTGCAATATCCGACTGCCTAAATGCCCAGCTCGTGGGTTAGCCGACTGGCATCAGCGCGCAACTGATGACTGTTCACCTACGACTGGGAAGAGGTAATTTTGCCACTTTTATAAGCACATATGGTCCAACCATGTGTTATCCTGACAATCAATATTACACTCAGTTATCCTCTGTGATACTGTCTCTGCCGAGGAGCGACTGTCTATTTCTGGTGGTTGATTTCAAAGCGCACGTTGGGCGTGATGCATCGGTGTGGACAAATGCCATCGGTCCGCACCGCATTGGTTCAACAAATGCGAACGGTGAAAGGCTGCTCTAACTGTGTGTCACCCACGGTCTGACGATCACGAACACTCGGTTTGCAATATGAGTGATATAACAACTTGGATTTACCCACGGAGTGATCATGCTCATCTGCTCGATTATGTCATTGTACGTCAACGTGACATGCCTGAAGTGCGCATGACACGTGTACTGCGTGGAGCTGTGTGCGGCACTGATCATAAATTGGTGCTTACCAAACTGTACATATATTTTCGTAAATCTATGTACTCCTGCCTTGAACTGGCCTAAATTTAACATCCTTTCCCTCAGTGCTATGGAGAAGCGTTTTTAGCTGGAGAACGCGATGGCTTCACGCCTGTGGAATGTGGAATGCATAGCCACAGTGGGCGACCTGTGGCAGCACATTCGCGATCAAGTGACAGCTGCTGCCGAGGAGACCATCGGGCGCGCAAAATGTTGGCGGCCCGATTGGTTTGATGAGAACAGTGGGAGAATTGACACCTTAGTGTCTGAGAAGAATGCGGCGTTTGCTGCACATGTGGCAAACCCTAGTGACTTGTGGAAGAAGAGAAAGTTTTGGCGAATTCGACGGCGACTAACTTGACAGCTCCATTGCATCAAAAATGCATGGTGGACTGAGAAGGCCAAGCAGATGGAATGCTACGCTGCTCACCGCCAACACAAGGAATTCTTTGACTACTTAAAGGCGATGTATGGACCGAGATTGGAGCTGCTGTGGATGCTGCTCGATGGTAGTTCAGGCGCTACCTGCACGCAGACTGCAGACATAATGCACATCTGGCGAAATCACTTTGACTGTCTCTTTAACAACCGTTCAAATATTGACTGGCCTATATTGAACATCCTGAAGCAACACGATGTGAAAGGGAGTTTAGCGGACACGCCGACACTGGATGAGACGCAGAGAGCACTTGCACAGCTGTGAAACGATAAGTGTGCCGGTGCCGACGGGAACCCGCCTGAAGTATTGAAACATGGTGGACCTGCGTTGGTGACTGTGCTGCACCACTTGGTGCAATGCGTGTAGATTGAGGATGTGGTGCCTGTTGCACTGAAGGATGCCCTTGTGCTACCACCTTACAAGGGCAAAGGGAGCAAGCAATGTTGCACGAATTATCGTGGCATCAACTTGCTGAGTTGTATGGGCAAGGTGATTTCTCGAATCCTGCTCAACCGCCTCGTCAGTCAAGTTGTGGAACCGATCGTGGCGGAAGAGCAGTGTGCATTCCGTTCTGTTCGTATCATTATAGACATAATGTTTGTGGCTCGGCAGTTGCAGGAGAAGTGCAGAGAGAGGAACCAGCCGTTATACTCGCTGTTTGTTGATGTCACCAAAGCAATTGTTACGGTGAATTGCGAGGCATTATGACTGGTATTGGATAAGTTTGGCTGTCCGAGTAAGTTTGTAACTTTCTTTGGTTGTCTGCACAGCAGCATGCGGGCAAAAATGCAGCTGAGTGGAGACCTCGAATGATTGGAGTTGTCACTGGTGTGAAGCAAGGCTGTGTCTTGGCTCCTGCTCTGTTTACTATTTATCTTCATGTCATGATGTCCTTCTGATGCGGCTTGTGCTTACGGTGTTGGTTTGGAGCACCGTATTGATAGTTGGATCTTGAACATCCGTCGTTTCGGTGCGAGAACTCTAGTCTGTGAGACAACTATCCGTATGCTGCTGTTCGCTGACAACTGTGCGTTGTTCGCACACAGCGCGGATGCGTTGTAGCTCTGGCTTCGACATCGGCCAATTTCGGGCTCACCATCAACGCAAGCAAAACTGTCTGTCCCTCGCAGCCTTCACCGGAGGTACAATCTGCAATGGCGCCGCGAATCAGCATTGGTGCTGAAGTATTGGAAACCACCTCCCGCTTCTACTATCTTGGGAGTGTGATGTCGACTGATCAGCAAATACACAGTGAGCTGCGTATGCGCGTGTCGAAGGCAGCGGCGGCATTCGGGTAGCTTGAGTACAGAGTGGAGAATAACTACGAGTTTACCATTGGCACGAAGCTGGTGGTGTACATATCCATGGTGCTATCCGTTCTTCTATTTGGCAGCTAAACTTAGACGATGTACCGGCGAGATGTGCGATATCTCGAGCAGTTCAATCAGCAGTGCGTGCGACGGATTCTGCGCATTGGTTGATGCAACATAGTTTCAGCCAGTCAGTTATGTAAGCTTCATGTACTCACGTGGGTACATTTTCTGCAGAACTTGGCCGCTGTCGAAGCCCGAGCACTAGTCATGTGCTGCAACTCATCGCGCTGTGTGCGACCAACGCACAGTCGTCAACTATAAATGTACCAAACGCACGGCATTAAAAATGGTAAATTTACGCACACACATATATATATATATATATATATATATATATATATATATATATATATATATATAGGCGCAAACAAGAGCGCAGTCTACGTACTGACAAGGAAACCTGGCGGACCACCCGGGTTCAATACGCGATTCTCGTAAGCCCTACGGCTGATTCGCACCACTGCTTCCAGGAAAGCAGGTGTCAGTGCGAGATCTCTGATTCACAATAAGGGACCCTTTCGTGTTCGGTTCAGTTGGCCCCTTGCTCCACGACCTCTTCTTACTCAACTACTGCAGGATGAGCCATGGACAGCTTGTTTAACGCCTCTGTCGGAGGCTGAGTTCCGAAGCGCGATCGCAACAATCAATCCTTTTCATGCCTTTGGCCCGGATTCCCTACCACCTGCAGTATATAACAATATAGAGGCGATGTCCTCTGCAAAACACTGACCTCCGTGTTCAAACAGGTCTGGAAGGAAGAGACCATCGCGGCTCATTGGAGTGAATCGATTATAGTGGCGATATACCATTACGGCAGTCGCGCCGACTGTGCCAACAGGCATTCCGGAATAGGATAGAGCAGGCAGGTTTCCGCCCAAGATGGAGTTGCATAGACCATAAATTCACTTTTCGGCAGGGTTCAGAGCAGCGCCACGCATACCGCAGGCCGAGAATAGCTGTGTTCCTCGATTTCAAGAGTGCGTTCAACTCGGCCCATCGATGCACTCTGTTCGAAATACTTGCTCGTAAAGGTGTTTCCATAAAATAAGCCCTTTTTACGTACTCAGGCCGCCTCAGGGTCTACAGTGACTTTTCGGATGCGTTTTCCACAACAAGTGGCGCTTGTCAGTGTTTCCCCATTTTCCGAATTTTGTTCAGTTTCGTCGTGGTCTCCATCATAGAGTGTTCGGAATCTCGCGATGCAGGCGTTGAGTTTCTGTCTGGGGGAAGGGCAGTTGATCTTGATTATGCGGAGGTAATGGTCTTGTTTAACAATGTTGGGGCGGTGCAACCAACCCTGAATGGCCTCACTGAAGTGGTCACATTATTTGGCATGCGCTTCGCTCCTTCAAAGTGCACAGCGTTGTCGCAGGACTCTCCTCCACTTGATGATCCCTTGAACCTTGATAACGAGGAACTCTAGATGGTTGGTCAGTTCACTTACCTTGGTAGCTGTATCAGCAATGATGGGTGCATAGCAACTAAAGTCATTTCACGTATTGCAAAAGACAGAACTGCCTTCGTGCATCTGCGACATCTTTGGCGACAGAAAGGGTTTCCCTCCGTTTGAATGGCCGTGTATACAAAGCCACAGTAAGGGCCGTGCTAGTGTATGTGAGTGAAACTTGGTTCCTTCTGTCTGAAGATCTGAGGCGCCTTCGAGTATTTCATCATCGCTGCATGCGGAGCGTTGCCGGTGTCAGGTGGCGCCAGCGTTTCCGCAACGATGATGTGCGTAGGCGGGTGCTACGCATTGAGATCTATGCTAGTTCCTTAGAACAACAGATATCACCGAATAAGTTGCGTTGGCTTTGACACGTACTTCGTCACCGAGGAACGCGTTGTTTGGTCTGCCTGATGTATGGTAGCATAAGGTTCGATGTGGACAAATGTTGACTTGTCAGCGGGAAATGAACTCAATGTCTTCCAAACTGGGTGCAGTCGCTCCCTGTCACCTTCTAGGCTACAGTTCACGTGATCTGCCTTGTTTTTGGCTTGAAACTGTGGTGTAGCCCTTCGGGAAGCAAGAACACTGGGCCGCGATCAGGAAGTCATTTATTAAGATTACGGTGGAATACTTATGGAGTATATACACCATTTACAACAGTCCGTCTCAGTGGCTCTTCCCTGCTACTTACATTGTGTCGCTGGCTCCCTTTCCATTGGTTTATGCTTGCTCGCCGCGTTCACTCTGTCTAATATCACCTTGACTTTCTTAGTGGATGTACGATTGGTGGGATTGGGTCCGCGAGCTTTTTCCCTCGGTCCAATGCCACAAGCCTTGGCTCAAGGGTGCACGAGTCGGTCACTTGCACGTTCAGTGGATAGTTGCAGGGTGGACGCGATTACGGGCCAACCATTTCCTGATTGGCTGACCAATCTGCTTCCGGCAACATGCTCACTCCTTATCGGTTTGGCCTGCGACGTTCGATCGGCATTACAGCATTTCCAATCACCAGCATTTCCAGCCCCCATCCCAGAGACGTTACAGGACATGGCTCGTAGTCGGTACCACTGGCGCGTCTGTTGCCGTCTCCTATTCGAACTGTCTGTTTAAAGTGTGTTTGGTGCCTAGTTATCTGCAGGGTAATGGCTGATTATGACGCGGGGCAGTGAAAGCCGCAGGGTACCTGTCTCGTTGATGCCGCTTATCTTTGCACGACAGTCAGCTGTTTGTGACGGTATGTTGTTGACACAAGGTGTGGGCGCCTTGATCCTGAATATTTACTTGGAGTATTAAGGGTTTCTGGTAAGCCTCTTCTTTCCATCTTATTATTCTTGGTTCCATAAGTCATTGTGGTTGTATGACATTGAAGCGTCAGTTTTAAATGACTGACCTACTGCTGTTGATGATGATGGTGGCCCTGTGCTAATAACACTAATAATGTGTCGGCTGTAGGCTGTAACGGCGCTTCGCTGCCGCGCGACCACTACCAGTTTTGCGCGGGCTGTATATACCGCGAGAACGCCCTCCCCTACGCGGATTCGAACCGGCGACTTTGTAGTTGCAAGCCAGGTGCGCAGACCACTCGGCCAGCGGCCGACTGATCATGTACTCTCATTGGTTGACTCTTGGCCAGCCAACTTGAAACGCCGATGGTCTTACGCGTATTTGATATGCATCTTGGCAATGGACAATCCCTCTGAGCGATACCTTGGTATAGTTAGGATATAGCTAAATCTTATGATTTAGGTTGTTCAGAACAGTTGGGCTCTTTTCAAATTAGCGGTCACCTGAGAGTCGCCCAGCCTCGTGAATTTTAGCCGAAATCCTATGTCATGCATCGCGCTCCACGAATGGGGTTCGTTCCACCGAGTGGGAGCGGCCACTTCGCACCTTATTCTTCCATGTGAGTTGTGTGCGTCGTCTCACTTTTTCTGGAGTGAGTTTTACATTGTTCACTTAGCTAGTGTATGCTTCTTTATGGGAATTAACTCACATGCAGGATAGTTCCGCAATTTGAAAGTACTTTATACTTGCTGTTTTGGCACGTGATACTTGTTAGCATTTCACGTAACAGTCTTTTGGAGGAACAGCAGACAGGTTCGCTCTGCGCCATGGTTGATAACTGTGGTTACCAGTCTTTTTTTCGTGCATCAATTTTTTTATTCTGACTGGTGTTTAGGAGTCATTGGCTCCGGAGGCCGCCCATTGGCTATCTCTCATTGGTACTTAACGTGATCAGTCCTTATCGACTTGTGCATCCGGGGGTTTTCTGTACTTCGGTCACCGACGGCTGTTCAGCTCTTAGCTTCAGTGATTCGTTTAAGTACTGTACAAACAGTGCGGCTTCCCGTTGCGATGCGTCCTGTTCTTCCTGGTCTTTGTTGTCCCCATTATCTTAGTAGGAAGTAGCAGTTCGAGAGTTGTTAGCGCCCCGTCGGCTTGCTGGCCGAACTACCTCCTCGTGGTGCCAGCTGGGTGGTTCGGGTGTACCCCGTTCCAGCAAAGTGTTCGGCGACAATGTTCCACCTCGGTGGGACATTGTATTCCAGCAGGTGTGCTGACTATATGGGGAGTATTGGGCCCCTGTTTGGTAATCTACCAAACAAAGACGCATGAACTGAACATTCAGTCAACGCCTCCCAATGGGCGCGATTCCCTAAATTCGCCCCGCTGCCTTGCGGGTAGGTTATTTAGCCAAAGGCTCGGGGTGGAGTCCCCTAAGTCAACTCCCTACTTCGGCTTGGGCAACCGGGTAGTATCACGCCCTCTCGCAAAACCATGGACTGTATTACAACTTGCTCACCAGCTGCTGTTTCTGCTAGTCACTTTCACGCGACTTCATCACACGCCAATTGTTTGTTTGTTAACAATCCTCACTTTCCTTTACCCGATTCATGTGCTCAGCAATCTGGCTGCGATTCCGGTTGCGCCGCAGACCAAGAGGTTCAACCCATGGCTCTCCTTCGTCCCCGATCCTCGTTCCGTCTGGCGTGCTTCAACGTTCGGACACTCATGCAGATTGGACAGCAAGCCGGTCTAGCGCGCACTCTAGATTCCCTAGACATTGATGTCTGCTGCCTTTCAGAAACCCGATTGCAAGATCCCAGCACTGTGCTCACACTGACATCCCCCACTGACCACGAAGCCAGATATCACCTACGTCTTTCTGGAGATCCAGAAGCAGCCTCAGCGGGTCTGGCTGGTGTAGGTATAGCACTAAGTGACAAGGCCGAGGCGGCACTACTGGACTGGTTCCCTATTAACAGCCGATTATGTGCAGTTCGGCTTCGGGGTTCGTGTAGAATCAACAGGCACCGCGAAGAGAGACACAACTTGTTTGTGATCTCAGTGTACGCTCCAACTGACTGCAGTGGAGACTCGGTCAAGGACGAATTCTATCGGGATCTACAACAACTCTTGACTAATGCTAAAAAGTCGGATGTCGTTATCCTTGCTGGGGATTTTAATGCACGGGTTGGCCGCCTGTTACCATACGAACGCCACCTTGGTGGTCATCACGCGCTCGATGAGAACCGCTCTGATAACGGAGAGAGACTTCTCACATTGTGCGAAGACAACCGTCTGTTTCTTTCGAGCACTAACTTCAGGCGTACGAAGAAGCGTTCCGCAACGTGGCGTCCCCCTTCTTCAACACAACCGTGGTCTCAAATTGATCACATTGCAATTAGCTTCAGATGGCGCGGCAGCGTACTAGACTGCAGGTCCTTTTGGTCCACATTCGTTGACTCAGATCATGCTCTGGTATGCGCGAAAATCTGTATGTGTTTTGGAGGATCCCGAAACACGAAGCACCGCAAGATTGATGTAAACAGATTAACTGATTCCTCTGTCCAGACGAGCTATCAGTCTTCATTGGCATATGCACTCAGTTGCAATCCACCTCAAGAAGTGGAACAACACTGGACTTGTATACGGAAGGCAATGACCATTTCCGGACAGTCATGCTGCGGCCTAACTCGACGCCCATTGAAGGCTTGGATCTCTGCTCGTTCTCTGGAGCTGTTCGAACGCCGCAAAGATATACCCGCGGAATCAGATTGCAACGAGCGGCGCCGTTCTGCCAACCGGCTGCTCAAGCAAAGCCTACGCAAGGATCGCGAGACGTGGTGGTCTGAACGTGCTTTAGAGATGGAGACCGCTGCCCTCTCTGGCAACACTCGCAGGCTTTTCCAACTCATTCGGTCCACTGGCCTCAGGAAACCTGGTGTCAGTGAGGTCATTTGTGAGGTGGATGAGTCTCCGATCACCAACCAACAGAGGCGTATGGACCGTTGGGCCGAGCACTTTCACTCGCAGTTCAACTGGCCTCCACCATCCATCAGTACATGCAGTACACGTTGTTGTCCACCCTGGCTCGTCCCTCTGAATCCACCCAGCGAAGCGGAAGTCGGCCTTGAGATTCGACGCTTGAAGCGCTTCAAGGCTGCCGGCTTAGACGGACTTCCTCCGGAGCTATTCAAGTACGGTGGTGTGGCGATCATTAACCAGCTGACCGCGCTGTTCGCAAAAATTTGGCATGAAGAGAAAGTGCCTTCCTCTTGGGGAGAATCAGTCATTATCCCGATTTTCAAGAAAGGCGCTCGCACTTCATGTGCAAATCATCGCGGGATTAGTCTTATTTCGGTTGCCTCTAAACTATTGGCATCCATTCTGCTTCGCAGGCTATCCCCAGTACGTGAATCATACTACCGTGAAGAACAAGCTGGTTTCCGTCCTGGCCGCGGATGCGTGGATCAAATCTTCACGCTCCGCCAGCTCCTCGAACATCGCCACATTTATCACAGGCCCACTATCGTTGCATTTCTAGACATACGTGCCGCTTTTGACTCCGTTGATCGACCTGCTTTATGGCGTTGCTTACTAAAGAACGGGGTGCCAGAGAAATATACCGCCATCTTACGAGCACTTTACCTTCATACATGCGGCAGAGTGAGGGTCTATGGCAAGCTTTCCTCGCAATTCACTGTCAATAGCGGTGTGCGACAGGGCTGCCCTATGTCCCCATTCCTCTTCAACTTCGCAATCGAAGACGTTCTGTCGAATGCTCTAGAAGGTTTCCAACATTTTGGCCTAGAGCTTCTACCGGGTGAGCGCGCGACCGACTTAGATTATGCTGATGATATCGCCTTACTTGGTGACGATCCTCAGAGTATGCAACTCATTCTGGATCGTTTGGCGGTTGAGGCATCTAAGTATGGCATGAGCTTCGCCCCATCGAAGTGTAAAATACTGCTCAAAGATTGGCATTTGCCTGCTCCCGTACTCACTCTCGATGGTGCACAACTTGAACAGGTAGATAGTTTCGTCTACCTTGGGAGCTGTATTTCTGCTGATGGCACTATCAACAAAGAAGTTTCTCTTCGTATCGCTAAAGCTCGATCGGCATTTGTCAATTTGAGGCACTTGTGGCGTCGTCGCGACGTCTCATTCTCACTAAAGGGCCGAGTTTACAGTGCATCAGTTCGCTCAATATTGTTGTATGGGTGCGAGTCCTGGCCGCTTCGCGTGGAAGACATGCGTCGTCTTTCTGCGTTCGATAACGGTTGCTTAAGGAGGATCGCGCGTGTTTGGTGGCAACATCGAGTTAATAGTAATGACGTTCGACGTCGCATCTTGGGGAATGCGAGTATTCCCTTCAACAAACTGGTTTTGTTGCGCCAGTTGAGATGGCTCGGTCACGTTCTACGCATGGCACCTGAGCGTCTACCGCGTCGCGCTCTATTCGCTCGTCAAGGACCTGGCTGGAGGCGACTGCGTGGTGGTCAGCCTTCCACTTGGCGGCAGCACATGAAATCGCTGACGTCGTGTCTAGCCGCTGTAGGATCCGTACGTCTTCCAGGATGGGGACCCAAAGATGAGGAGTGCCAATGGCTTAGCACTCTTGAAGATATGGCCCGCAACCGGAATCAGTGGAAGAATTGTGTACATTATTGTATTGATTCACATGTTTAATTCTACAAACATTAAAATGACAAAAAAAGAACAAAAGCGGCGTGTGAAAAACAAACTAAAAATGTTTTGTTCTGCTTTTTATCAAACTGTTCCATTCTTCCTGCGGCATATTAGTTGAAGTGTGTTGCTCACCTTCAACTAGCATGCCACGATGATTATGACGCTTTGAATCTTGTTTATCCCCTTATCTCCATGGTTTTAGACTGGCTCTTTGTCTAGCTAATAGACTGTTGAGAATACATGGTTGGCGGCATCCGGTTTCGGATTTGCCTGTCACTGTGGCAAGCCACAGGACGCCTGCGCCTACAGAGGGACCATGGATGGCTTGCGCTGCACCACCCACAGCTCCAACCACATACCCCATATCCAGTGTAAACCCGAAGGAATAAGACCGGGAGGCATGCGGATGGGAACCACGTTTCATCAACGGAGCCGGCCCACACTCCTTCACAGGCAAACACAAGCACGCTGTATTTGGGGAATCAACCGCACACAAGGCGGTGGCTGGACCGTAGTCCGCTCCACACTGAGTGCATGGAACCGCTCTTTGAGCCTAGCACGGCCACAAGAACCGTGCACCCCGTCCCCTCCAGCAACGACCAACTGTCTCCTGGAGCCAGTATGAACGATGTAGTGGGTAATAGACAGGTAGGCACCTTGTCAACATACACATCAAGCGCAACCATACCAGGGATATCAAACAACAGCCATTCACTTTAAACGACAAGCTGAAATAAAATAAATCCAATAATGCATACAGATACGGTGGCATAACTCTTCGCTAAATTACCATATGAAGTAAGTTGGTTAGCAACAAATCCGTGATAAGTAAGAAATGTCCACAAGTTACTTAAAATGCTACAAACGCAACAAAATTACCGAAGATAAGCGCAATTAGTGTAAGCAACGTGGCCAGTTAATAGAACATTATTCAGGGAGGCAGAACAAACCAAATAAAGCGGAATGAAATTTATCCAGCTTAAAAAGACCTAGTTTAAGTGTAAGTTGGTTTAGCCCAACTGCGGTGAAGAAGCATCAAGAATGCAACATCAGCCTCAGCATGGGGCACACATACATACATGGTTGGCGGCATCCGGTTTCGGATTTGCCTGTCACTGTGGCAAGCCACAGGACGCCTGCGCCTACAGAGGGACCATGGATGGCTTGCGCTGCACCACCCACAGCTCCAACCACATACCCCATATCCAGTGTAAACCCGAAGGAATAAGACCGGGAGGCATGCGGATGGGAACCACGTTTCATCAACGGAGCCGGCCCACACTCCTTCACAGGCAAACACAAGCACGCTGTATTTGGGGAATCAACCGCACACAAGGCGGTGGCTGGACCGTAGTCCGCTCCACACTGAGTGCATGGAACCGCTCTTTGAGCCTAGCACGGCCACAAGAACCGTGCACCCCGTCCCCTCCAGCAACGACCAACTGTCTCCTGGAGCCAGTATGAACGATGTAGTGGGTAATAGACAGGTAGGCACCTTGTCAACATACACATCAAGCGCAACCATACCAGGGATATCAAACAACAGCCATTCACTTTAAACGACAAGCTGAAATAAAATAAATCCAATAATGCATACAGATACGGTGGCATAACTCTTCGCTAAATTACCATATGAAGTAAGTTGGTTAGCAACAAATCCGTGATAAGTAAGAAATGTCCACAAGTTACTTAAAATGCTACAAACGCAACAAAATTACCGAAGATAAGCGCAATTAGTGTAAGCAACGTGGCCAGTTAATAGAACATTATTCAGGGAGGCAGAACAAACCAAATAAAGCGGAATGAAATTTATCCAGCTGAAAAAGACCTAGTTTAAGTGTAAGTTGGTTTAGCCCAACTGCGGTGAAGAAGCATCAAGAATGCAACATCAGCCTCAGCATGGGGCACATGAGAATACATACATGGTTGGCGGCATCCGGTTTCGGATTTGCCTGTCACTGTGGCAAGCCACAGGACGCCTGCGCCTACAGAGGGACCATGGATGGCTTGCGCTGCACCACCCACAGCTCCAACCACATACCCCATATCCAGTGTAAACCCGAAGGAATAAGACCGGGAGGCATGCGGATGGGAACCACGTTTCATCAACGGAGCCGGCCCACACTCCTTCGCAGACAAACACAAGCACGCTGTATTTGGGGAATCAACCGCACACAAGGCGGTGGCTGGACCGTAGTCCGCTCCACACTGAGTGCATGGAACCGCTCTTTGAGCCTAGCACGGCCACAAGAACCGTGCACCCCCGTCCCTCCAGCAACGACCAACTGTCTCCTGGAGCCAGTAGGAACGATGTAGTGGGTAATAGACAGGTAGGCACCTTGTCAACATACACATCAAGCGCAACCATACCAGGGATATCAAACAACAGCCATTCAATTTAAACGACAAGCTGAAATAAAATAAATCCAATAATGCATACAGATACGGTGGCATAACTCTTCGCTAAATTACCATATGAAGTAAGTTGGTCAGCAACAAATCCGTGATAAGTAAGAAATGTCCACAAGTTACTTAAAAATGCTACAAAACGCAACAAAATTACCGAAGATAAGCGCAATTAGTGTAAGCAACGTCGCCAGTTAGTAGAACATTATTCAGGGAGGCAGAACAAACCAAATAAAGCGGAATGAAATTTATCCAGCTTAAAAAGACCTAGTTTAAGTGTAAGTTGGTTTAGCCCAACTGCGGTGAAGAAGCATCAAGAATGCAACCTCAGCCTCAGCATGGGGCACACATACACACATGGTTGGCTGCATCCGGTTTCGGATTTGCCTGTCACTGTGGCAAGCCACAGGACGCCTGCGCCTACAGAGGGACCATGGATGGCTTGCGCTGCACCACCCACAGCTCCAACCACATACCCCATATCCAGTGTAAACCCGAAGGAATAAGACCGGGAGGCATGCGGATGGGAACCACGTTTCATCAACGGAGCCGGCCCACACTCCTTCACAGGCAAACACAAGCACGCTGTATTTGGGGAATCAACCGCACACAAGGCGGTGGCTGGACCGTAGTCCGCTCCACACTGAGTGCATGGAACCGCTCTTTGAGCCTAGCACGGCCACAAGAACCGTGCACCCCGTCCCCTCCAGCAACGACCAACTGTCTCCTGGAGCCAGTATGGACGAGGTAGTGGGTAATAGACAGGTAGGCACCTTGTCAACATGCACATCAAGCGCAGCCACACCAAGGATATCAAACAACAGCCAATCACTTGAGAGAGAGAGAGAAAGAAAAAGAGAAAAACTCGATTAATGCATAAGGAAACGTTGACATAAACCTTAATTAAATAGCATACGTAATAAGTTGTTTACAAACACATCCTAGCTAAGTGCACGAGGTCAGGAAGTATAGTTCACGGTATGCCACGAACACAAAAATGTTATGGAAATCGAATACAACTGGCTAAAGCGATATGTGCAAGTTAATGGAATAGAGTACAGGGAGATATTTATATGAGAAAGAAAAGCATTAAGGTAAAAACTGTAAACCCACCACCTGAAATAAAGAGACTTAGCAAGCAAGCACGCGGTTAGTAAATCGAATTCAGCGTGCCTACAAACGCTGCGCCGGCTCGTCGTAATTCTCTGCAGGACCCATCGTCGCTTCTGTAGTGGTCCCAAAGGACCTAGCTCATGGCCCACTAGACATTTATATGAGAAAGAAAGGCATTAGGAGAGAACCGAAAACCCACCACCTGAAATAAAGAGACTTAGCATGCAAGCATGCGGTTAGTAAATCGAATTCAGCGTGCCTACAAACGCTGCGCCGGTGCGGCCTACGTTCACTGCGGGACCCGTCGTCGCTTCGGCAGTGGTCCCGAGTGACCTCTCTCATGGCTCACTAGGCCTGCCTGACTAAGGCACTCGCGACCGCATGTTCTACAGCACAATGCGCTCGATGTCGATGGAGTACAATTCATCGGTGCTTGCCGCTTCCGCACTTGCCGCTTCTTCTCTGCATGCATGAGGGCTTTCTCTCGCACCTCACCAACTGCCTTCGTGATTAGATCGCGCCATGCACCACGATCAACCGCCTTCGATTCCCATGATCTGCAATCAAGATTAGAACGTGTGAGGCTCACTTTAATCATGTCCTGGTAACGTACATACATACATACATACATGGTTGGCGGCATCCGGTTTCGGATTTGCCTGTCACTGTGGCAAGCCACAGGACGCCTGCGCCTACAGAGGGACCATGGATGGCTTGCGCTGCACCACCCACAGCTCCAACCACATACCCCATATCCAGTGTAAACCCAAAGGAATAAGACCGGGAGGCATGCGGATGGGAACCACGTTTCATCAACGGAGCCGGCCCACACTCCTTCACAGGCAAACACAAGCACACTGTATTTGGGGGATCAACCGCACACAAGGCGGTGGCTGGACTGTAGTCCGCTCCATACTGAGTGCATGGAACCACTCTTCGAGCCTAGCACGGCCACAAGGATCGTGCACCCCGTCCCCTCCAGCAACGACCAACTGTCTCCTGGAGCCAGTATAGACGAGGTAGTGGGTAATAGACAGGTAGGCACCTTGTCAACATGCACATCAAGCGCAGCCACACCAAGGAAATCAAACAACAGCCAATCACTTGAGAGAGAGAGAGAAAGAAAAAGAGAAAAACTCGATTAATGCATAAGGAAGCGGTGATATAAAACTTAAGTAAATAGCATACGTAATAAGTTGTTTACAAACAAATCCTAGCTAAGTGCACGAGGTCAGGAAATATAGTTCACGGAATGCCACGAACACAAAAATGTTACGGAAATCGAATACAATTGGCTGAAGCGATGTGTGCAAGTTAATGGAATAGAGTACATGGAGATATTTATATGAGAAAGAAAAGCATTAAGGTAAAAACTGTAAACCCACCACCTGAAATAAAGAGACTTAGCATGCAAGCACGCGGTTAGTAAATCGAATTCAGCGTGCCTACAAACGCTGCGCCGGCTCGTCGTAATTCTCTGCAGGACCCGTCGTCGCTTCTGTAGTGGCCCCAAATGGCACTAGCGCATGGCCCACTAGACATTTATATGAGAAAGAAAGGCATTAGGAGAGAACCGAATACCCACCACCTGAAATAAAAAGACTTAGCATGCAAGCATGCGGTTAGTAAATCGAATTCAGCGTGCCTACAAACGCTGCGCCGGTGCTGCCTACGTTCACTGCGGGACCCGTCGTCGCTTCGGCAGTGGTCCCGAGTGACCTCTCTCATGGCTCACTAGGCCTGCCTGACTAAGGCACTCGCGACCGCATGTTCTACAGCACAATGCGCTCGATGTCGATGGAGTACAATTCATCGGTGCTTGCCGCTTCCGCACTTGCCGCTTCTTCTCTGCATGCATGAG